AAGAAAAGAATGAAAGGAAAGAGTTGAAAAACAAGAAAGGAAAGAAAAACAAAAGAGGGAAAGAAAAACAAAAAGAGAAAAAAATAAGAAAAAAAGAAGTAAACGAAAAAGGGGCCCACACAGTAAAAAATTTTCCCTCTTACACGCGACATTGGGCGAGTGAAGCTACTCTCTTTGCCACGTTACCATTTAGGGTGGTCTTAAATTCACCCCAAACAAGAATAGGGGGGACATAGGTCGCCAGTAAAGTTAATGTGTGTAAATGATTTTTTCGGACAAGTTTGATGGGTAATTTATGTATTATCTCTAAAAAGAAAGAAAAGACTTTCTACCATCAATGAAGGACACTTTGGGTGTGTTTGGTATGAAGGAAAATATTTTCCGGAAAATATTTTTTAATTTTTACATGTTTGGTTGGCTTAAATGTTTTGGAAAACATTTTTCTTATGAACTCATTTTCCTCCAATTGGAGAAAAATATTTTCCTTATCAAGATAAGGGAAAATATTTTCCAAAACTCCTTCTCAACCTTCCTTACCTTCACCAACCAACCCTACCCCCTCTATCCAAAAAAGTTTTTTTTTTTCAAATTTCATTATTTCAAATCATGATAAAAGTTAAAATATTTTTTAACAATAGGTCGCCTATAGAACAAGCGACCTGCTACAAAATATTTTAGCTGCCAGCCACCTATAAATCCAGCACCAATTTTCATTTGTTCTCGCATTTATTTATTTTCTATAACTGCTGGAAGCTTTTGAGACGGCCAAAGATATTTGTTTACTACTATTTTCTACAACTGCTGGAAGCTTTTTGAGATGGCCAAAGACATTAAACTTTCGAGATTGTTCGGCTGAACCCGATAACTTTAATCCAAATTCAATATTGTTTTAAGAAATTTATTGAATTTGAACAAATTATTAATTTAGAACTAGAATCTCGAACCCATAAACTTCAAATTCTGGCTCCGCCTCTGTATTTTCGTTATCTGACTGAAACTTTTCATATGAGAAAGAAGTCGAGTTTAACTTTTTAATTCAAAGCTTTCTAGACGGGGAAAGAAGAAAATAAAGTAAAATGGATGGTCACATGTCTGACATTTCTAGACGGTTCAATGCATAGTCAGCAAAGCATGAGCTAGATATTTATAATTGAATGAGCAAATCACTAGCATTAAAATGGTAAATAAATAAAGGGTCGTTTGGCAGAATGCTAAATATTTGGAGTGATAATCTTCGATCAGTATGAGCCATAATCTTGATCTTTGGTATTATCTTTATATGATTTTATGTAATTCTTAACTCATCCCATAATCTCGATCTTTATATGATTTTAGATAATACTTAACTCATGTCGTAATTCTTACTGAACGATTGAGGTTGAATTATACTCAACCAGACCTACTTACGTTTAAATTTGTAAGCAGATCTACCTTTTTAATTTATATATACATATATTATACACTTTTTGACTACCAAATTTAAATAATATCTGGCGCCGGCTAACATCCATGGTTAAGGATCACTGTGATCCTGAGGACTCAATAATTCGATTATTAACAATTTTACGTTCCTTTCCTATTGAATAATACAAAAAATATACATAGGTACCAACATGGAATTTTTTTGTCCAAGTACAAACACGTGACTTTTGATTATGAAAGCTAACACCTTCTATGAAATCTTCATAAAACTTACTATTTCATATTTATATCTCATGAAATAACACAGAAAACACTAAAAAAGTTTAAGTCCAATATAATATTAGCTGTAAGACTTATTTGGTCTGGATTACTTTTGTTTAAATTAATTTGATTTTTGAATTAACTGCAATTCTACAATCTGAAAACTCCAATTCTTCTTAACAAGAGCCAGAAACAACAACAACAACTACCCAGTAAAATCCACAAAGTGGGGTCTGGGGAGGGTAATGTGTACGCAGTCGCAGACCTTACCCCTACCCCGATAGGGCAGAGAGGCTGTTTCCGATAGACAAGCAGCCAGAAACATACCATTATAAAGAATAAATAAGGCTCTTAAGACATTTACAACCTCCAGGTTAACTATATAATAGAAGCAATAAGGAATTATTTCAAGGAAATAACTCAACTGATATTTGTGAAGATACTCTTTTTTTCCAGTTCCTTTCTTGGGCACTAGAACTAAATCCAAGTATAAGTCTCAGTTAGATTACAGTTTAAAAAAATTTTGGACTGCTTTTGAACTTTTAGAAGTGCTACCTGGTATTCACAAGATACATAGTACAACAACAACAACATCTGCAACAGCTTCATAAAGTTGCACCAACCAACTTATGTTGGGGTAGTTTTTGTAGGCAAACTAATGCCACCTCCTTTTACAGATATATTAGGACTTTTAACTGAGCTAGCTTGGCTCACGAGATTCGAGTCCAGGAAAACAACCGCCACTGAGATGTCGTCGTGGAAATGTCGACGAACTCCACGATCAATTTTCTTCAAGTCTGAATACCTCATTTCCCTTTTCTTTGCTGCTTCTTGTAGGGCAGTTTTCACTAACCTTCTAGCAATCCCCTGTCAAGTGGCAAACAAACCTCTTAAGTTTTGATCCAACTGTTTTTTTTTCTACTTAAAGGAGTTGAGACATATAGATATTTTACTACATCTATCTACACCAAAAAGAAGTCAGAAACTTGGGGAAACACTTGAAATAATATAAGTGCAGCTTGTCGCACTAAGCTCCCGCTATGTGCAGGGTCTACAAAGGACCGGACAACATTAGGTTTATTGTACACAGAATGACTTTCCATTGCATTTCTAGAAGAGGCTGTTTCTACTGCTTGAATCCGTGACCTTCTGGTCACACAGCAGCAACTCTTACTTGGGGAAACACTTGAAAATAATATAAGTGCAGCTTGTCGCACTAAGCTCCCGCTATGTGCAGGGTCTACAAAGGGCCGGACCACATTAGGTCTATTGTACACAGATTCACTTACCATTGCATTTCTAGGAGAGGTTGTTTCTACGGCTTGAATCCGTGAACTTCAAGTCACACAACAACAACTCTTACCGTTGCACACTGAGGCATAATTATTATTCATGCACTTGACACAGTGGCAGCACAATTTAGTTAAGTGGCTTCTACTGCTCGGCATATAGGTAGAGAGGAGGTGCAATGCACCTCCGGAAAATGTTTAACAGAAAATTCCCCACTGTTACTTAACACTTTTTCTTATTCTTTTTTCATAACAAACAGGAGATCTCTTGCATATAAGAAATTTGGAGTTATATGTAATCAATTCTGATGCAAAGTGCATCACCAGATTATTTCACTACCAGCTATATGTCACTAAATCTTATGTGACCTATCATGTATAGGAAAGAAGTAGGATTTCAACCAGTAAAATGAACAGATTAAAAGCCATCAACAGTCAAACAATGATTATTCACCTGTATGAGAGATTAATATTCATCCCATTGTTTATTTAGCTTTCATTGCTTAAAGGAAATAAACCTTTTCATGAAAAACAGCTTACATTGCGTGGGTGATTTTGTACAATGTCTACTGCTCCTTGGTTAGTTAGATGCTCCCAAAGACCATCTGATGCAAATATGATAAACTGGTCATCAGGTTGCAAATGGTGCACTGAAATTGTTGGATCTGAGCTCAAAATGGGCTTGCCAAATGGTTCTCGAAGACGAAACTTTGCATATAATGGCTCCCTGTTGAATTCAGCTTTTTTTAAATACACATCACCAATGGATCTTGAAATCTGCAAAATAAAGTATTCAGTCCATTTTAGAGTGCAGATCAAAGTTTTCTGAGTCAGGCAAGAAACAAACATACTAAACAAGCTTCCTAAAGAAAGTACTATCCCATTAATTGACACCAATAGCCTTTTATTAGCACACAAATGATTTTATATTGCTCCTCCCAAAAAATAGGTACAGCAAATTAGTAACACAGAGAAATTAATCTAGCTCTCTAAGGAGTAGTTGCAGGCTCCTTCAAAGAGAGAAACTCGGTGCCATGACGGCAGGTCGGCAAGTTTAATACTAGATGTTGGTTAATCTGAGAAGAGTGGACACTCAAATCTTAAGGACTAAAGAAACACACACCTGCATAACTAGGTTTCTCAAATGAAATTTGGAACATTCTTATTGTTTCAGATACTCTCTGCATGAGAAGCCCGAGATATGGAAGTTTTGATCCCTTTACCCTATTTATGTCGCTGTTTATCCAGGGTACAACAGAGCTACAGCTACTGAGCACTCAAATCTCAGCATATAGCAACACAGATCAGGAAGCAATACCGTAGCATTGTCCCCAAGCGTGTATTTATAATTAAACCATTACATGAATAGTGAAAGGAGAACCATGATAAAACTAGCAATATGTTTTTCTATCCATAATCCTGAATAGTCAACAGTGCAGTGCTAGTGTTGAAACCAGAGCTTCAACCATGAACAGGGGCGGACGTAGCTCAATAACACCGGGTTCAATTGAACCCACACCTTTCGACACGGAGCAAAACTTTATATACAAAAAATTACTAAAATGGCAATAAATTATAGACATGAACCCATAACTTTAGGATATAATAGGTTCAATACTAAGAACCTTAAAGGTTGAACCCATAGAATTTTAATCCTGGATCCGCCTTTGACCATGAAGAGCGATTGCCAATTTCTAAATACTAATATTCTGTTGATGTAGTAAGGCCAATACAGTCAGAAACTTTTATATTAAAACAAGTTCAGCAAAAGCAAAGAAAGATCCATTGCAATCACACAGAAATATAAAAAATTATCTAGGAGAAGTTACAATCACAGGGGCCTCACTTTCTACTAATTGATTACTAATAAGTTAAGACAAAAAGTATCACCAGCTTACAATATCTCATGCTTGCTACTCGCATATTCATATTGCTTATGCCTTATGGCACACATTGAATCTGCTCGTGAATATCACAAATATATCAACTGAAAAGAATAATGAAGTGTCTCCAGCAAAATCTACGAAATTCTTTTATATTATGTAAATAAAAAAGCAATCAGTAACATATATCATGTCTTCTACCTTTTTCACAGAAAAGGAATCATTCTACCACATAAACCATAAATAAGGAGTGGTAAAAAGGAAGCATCTGTTTACAAAAATACTCCTTTTAACAATTCTCATTTATTCATTCACTTGTCAACTTGGATTAAACTCTAACAATCATGGATTTCAGTTTCTTCAGATAATCTCGTATATGAAAGAGTTCCTTCCGGAAAGAATCACTTGCCTTTACAAAGAGTGGAAGACCTAGAGATTAAAGCTTCTCAACTTCCTGCCAACTCTTTGACAAAAATGCCATTGCTATATGTGAAAGCAAATAAATGTGTATCACTCAAGTGCCGTGCACAACAACCCAATACTATAGGCTCCTTGAATAGCAATTTCATATGGCTTCCGAGGAAAGGAGAATACAAAGGACACAAAAACCCTCATCTTAAAGTTCTAAAAGACGTAAGTGATTAGGGAGCAAACATAGTATGAAGAAATTTAGAATTCAATGAGTAACCCAATTACTAATAGACGTAACATGTATATTGGAATTGAAACAACACTATATAATAATAACAGCAAATAGGTACTTTGAGCTGAGCCAATTCTAAAACAGAGACTGCTTAGGAAGATAAAATATAGGTTACCTGTATAAGCCCCTTCACGCGCCAGACATTGTGCTTTAAAACTACAATTTGTGAGTCATTTGGATGCAGAGTTTGCAACTCTTGTCTTACAGATTCAATGCTCGCATTGTGTTCTGCAGAGAGCTGAATCGAGAGAACCTCTCCAGTAGACTTGACAAGTCTCCCTAAGACTGCCCTTGAGTCGCCAAGGTTGGCTATATATAAGGTTCCACTGCAGATAACTCCAACAAGACAGCATGATCCAACTGCAGCAATCTGCGGTTTCGTGGGCCATTGTCTAGTCACAACAGAGAGGAAACCGTCTTCTGTTGCTTGAAATGCTTTCTTAATCACCTCAACAGACATAGATTGGTGCTCAGATGTGAACCCTACACAATTCGGAGCAAGCAATTGAGTCAAGACCAAAATGGCCAAAAAATATACACAGCAGTCCATGTATGAATCCATAAACCTAGACAGTTGCCGTCACTAGAACAAATTCTGTTAAAGCAAATTCCAAAATTGCATAACCAAATAATTGGTTTGCCATATGCATGATTTCTGGCAACAGAATTAAGAAACTAAAAACACTTCCAACATCATTTCCATTACAGGCAGCAGCTCTCACTGAAGCAACTGTAGCAGCTCTAGCGCTGATTAATATTGAACCTTCTAATCTTACATAATAAATACTTAAGACTTTTGATTAGTAACCACACTCCATAACAGGTAAATTGTAATACAATTCTAGTACTTGGACGCTGACACTCTCCGAAGATATCAAAGGTAACAACAACAACAACAACAACAACAACAAGACAAGTATGAAATAGATAAAATTCAACCACTTTAGCCATGAAAACATATCGAGAGGGAAACAGTTCAAATTGGCTCGAAGGCTTACTCTTGAGATTTTGAAAGAGATGTTCATTGATGAACCTTGAAGTTTCAGGGCCCCCATGCCCATCATAAATTCCAACAAAGGTACCATATGGACCAGATTCCTGCAAACTCAAGCACCCTGATTCAATTTGGCTCTGATCTTCAAGTAGATTATTAGCTTGAACTACAGCCATTGAAAACTCTCCATTTACATGTTGCCCTGTATCCTTATACCATAAGAGCCCATCTTGGCGACCGACGGCATCTGAACTTGTATGAACATGTCCATCTGCCCTTGGCTGAAAACAAGCCCTTAAGATATTCATCAAACCAGATATCATACCTCATCTCATCCAAAACACCCTCCAATTTCTCCACATCTAACAGGACTCAGTTCCACTTTTGCTCTTAAAATCTCAACTTTGCATTCGTTGTAAATCTACAAGTGCATAACAATACCAATGACAAAAAGTAAGATTTAGAAAAATAATGAAATTGGCAAAATCTTGAAAATTGCACCCAACAATCAAATAATACACCAAGAAGCCACCTTTAGTTTAATACTTCTAACCAAACTGATGCAAATGCCTTCAAAAATGAAAAAATTCAATTAAAATACAAAGAAAAGGACTTTCAAAGTGGTCTTTGCTCTTAAAAATCTCAACTTTGCATTTTTTGTAACACTACAAGCCAATAACAATACCACTGACAAAATCAAGATGAAGAAAAACAATGAAATTGGCAACTATGACAATCTTGAAAAATTGCAGCTGACTAATAATAATACACCAAGAAGACACCTCTAATTTAATACTTCTAACTAAGCTGATGCAAATGCTAAATTGATTTGTGGTGTACTTATAACAGAAAAATTCAACAAAAATATAAAAAAGGACTTTCAAAGTAGTAAAATTCAGTTTTTCAACATAGAACAATATGGTCAGCTAGTTTGAATCCAGAAGGTCTGACTTTGGCAAAGAAAAAAAACTATTAAAACTGAAAAAAAGAATAAAAAGACAACTTTTTCTTAACTAGCCAAATTTCAAGAATCACAAATAAGTGTACTATATTTGAAACCATTTAGTAGTGTGATATAGCTGAACATAAAGCATTAGCAGGAACAGAGAGAAGTTCAAAAGGAAAATAACAAAAAAAACTTACATTTGAAGATCTGAAAGTGAAAAAGGGGTTGTTTAGATCTGTGAAACCATCAAATCAAAGGGAAAATAAAGTGGGATTTTGTACAGTTTTTTGGTTTTTTCTCTAAATGTTCTTTGAGGATGAAATGATTCAAGACAACACATAGAGAGAGAGAAGAGTGAAAAAATAGTGATCAAATTGAGAGGAGAGTGTTATTTGTTCAAAATTAGGCCAAACTAAAACTATGGTCTCTTACAGCAGACAAATCCCATTAAAAACCAACAATGGAGAGCTTGTAGCCAGCAAATCAGTGGACCATTTTGGGCTCCACATATCCCGTCCGATAAATATTTATTTGCACTCAGTAATTAACTAATTATACAACAACAACATTATTCCATATGGAGGGTTGTGTGTAGGCATAACTTATTCCTACTTTTGATACAGAGATTGTTTTCAATAGATACTCGGCTAAAGAAAACATAAGTACCATATTAATTAAAAGATAGATAAGAAAGAACAACATCAAAAAGCCACGTAAAAGCAGTATAAAAACAACACGATAATAATATGATCAACATTGAAGAAAACGACGGGTAGTTAAAGAAACGTACTACCAACAGAATGCGAGAGGACGTACTAATACTACCGGTATGAACAATCTAGATAACCTACTATACTACCTTACTCATTGACTTCCACACCTTTTTATACCGTGCAAATAAATATATTATATAAAATATATTTGTTACTTAACTAATTAATTATATATTCTTACTTTAAAATCACGATCAAATTACTTAATTTGATACAAATATTTGATGCGAATAAATATTTACTACCTGATCTCACCCCCAGCTTTAACGTTAGAGTGGCAAAATCTGAAGAGAGAACAAGAAAAGTAGTATAGCATATTTAATTGGGTGGCATGAAATTTCCATGAAATACCTCCTTATGAAGCCACGTTGCATGGATGTTATTATAATAGCAGTATTATCTCTAAGATATTATTACTCAGTCATGTGTTTCCCTTTCCTTTTTCTTTTATTTATTATCCCCTATTGTTGTTAGGTACGATTTTGTGCATGAGTTGTTGACCTTAAGGAAATGCTTAACGTGAAATTTTTGATCCTATCCTATTTTGTTTATACTTATGTTTGCCTATTACAGTATGTTGGATTTGGAAACATATTTACAACTCAAAAACTTCTATACTATAGTTTCTTTGTTTTTCTGGTTCCATTTAAATGTTTTTTATTGTATTTTGTTTATATAGGTAGTAAAAAAATTTACACGATGAAATTTTTTAATTTTTTTAACGATCATGTGGTGTGCAACATGTCATAATCAAACGTCGAAATTGTGCCCCTCTCGTCATTTGTATTTTTTGAACTCAACAACAACAACATATTTAGTGTTGTCCCACAAGTGGTCTAGGGAGGATATACGCAGACCTTACCTATACCTTGTGAAGATAGAGAGATGTTATTTTCCGATAGACCTCGGCTCAAGAAAAGCATGTAAAGAAAAAAATTCATGTAAAGAGAAGCAGTAACCACAACTAAAAAATAGGATAATCGAAACAAAAGAAACGACATGCAGTATTAGAAATCTAAAAATAGGAAATACGAGAATACACTAGTACTACACGTATAGAAAAACAATACAGGTAAGAAAAAGAATAGTACTCAACTATTCACTAACCTATACTACCCTAATTATCGACCTCCACACCCTCCTATCAAGGATTTAGTCCTCGACAAACTAAAGATGTGTCATGTCCTACCTTCATGTCAATTGGGATAAAAAAAAATTAATATGATAATTTTTTTTTTACATAATTTCACTAATATATTAAGAAAAAATTGTTGATCTTTCGTGAAACTAGCCGAAAGGAAAACCACTTTCACCTTTTCGAAAGGTTAGTAAAAAGGAAAAGCAGCAAAAATGAGAACTTCACCTCAAATTTATTCTCATTTTTTGTCGAACCATAAATGCATTTTCTCTACTTAGCATACACATGTCGAAGTGTCAACACATCAATTTTGGTCCAACCATTTTAAGGTTAAAACATCACTTGGGTTGTTGTTCTTGAAAAAAAAAAAAAAAGGGAAAGAAGCTAAGGCCAAGACCTAAAAACAGCAACACTATGAGACGCCTTTTGTTGCTGGGTACAATTAGAGGTACGCCGACCTTTAATGAGCTTTTGGGAGGTTGGGCACGGCTGCCTTTCCTATTTATTGGCTTCTGATATTATTATGTTACAGCTAATATAATATAGAAAAACATGAGCTAATAATCTAAGAAAAGTACATTAGTTTTCACTTTTTTTTTCAGAATAAAAAAGAAAAAAGAAAAATAAGATTAGGTTATGTGGACGGCTTGAGATATGACTCGTTATTTGACTCATTTTAAACTAATTCTTGATCCAAGTAAAGTATTTTAAACGACTTGGATCATGACATGTTTACTCATTTGACTCGCTCAAATTTGAACCTTCCATTTGTCACCTCTACCGGGAAGCATGCAGGGGCGGATGTAGAGCAAACGGTACGGGTTCTCGTGAATCCAGTAACTTTTGCATAGACATTGTATTTATACTAAAAAAATTCATTATAAGTATAAGAATGTTTAGCTAATTGGAACCCAGTTCGTTGGTCCAGTTATCATGTAAATTAAATTGAGATTGTTATAGGAAGCCATAAACTTAATGTTATTTGTGGCTTGAATTATTTCCTTGTATTTTTAGGAAACCATAGTCCCTATAGGTTTAGGAAAACCCATTGTCCTAATAGATTTGGGAAAGGAAAAACCTATAGTCCTTGTCAAATTGGGAATTCTTTCTCTTATAGGTTTGGGACCTTTTGGGATGTATGTATAAGGGTTGTAGTTGGAGATCCTAGGTATTGTATTGTTGCTTTTCTTCTCATTCATAGTGAAAAACTCTATCTGCTTTTTCCCGGAGGATTAGGCTTAGCCGAACCTCGTTAAATCCTTGTGTTGGTTTTTCTTCTCTATTGCTTTGTGTGTGATTGTGTGCTAGTTAACCCATGATATTCCGCAACAATTGGTATCAGAGCAAGGTTCGGGTTTCTACATATAATCTAGGGTTAAGATATCTTCATCACCTTCAACAAAGTACGAAGTCAAGAAATTCGACGGGGGTTCTAGTTTCAGTCTATGGAAGATTAGGATGAAATCGTCCCTGGTGTTACAAGGGTTATGAAAGGCAATTGATGAGGATTTTTCTGAAGAGATGAAAGAGACAGAGAAGGCAGACCTGAAGTAGAGGACTTTGAGTGCGATCTTCATGAGCGTTACATATAGCGTTCTTCGGGAAATTGCTGAAGAAACTTCTGCAGCAATGGCATGGAAGAAGTTGGAAGATCTGTATTCTAAGAAATCGCTGACAAACCGTCTCTACCTGAAAAAAGAGGTTATACAATCTCGTATGAATGAATGTACACCTGTTAAAGCTCACATTGATGAGTTTAATTCAATTATAATGGACCTTAAGAATGTGGATATCAAAATTGAGAGTAAGGATCAGACCTTGATTGTGTTATGTTCTTTACCACCGTCTTATGATACTTTTGCCGATACGCTGCTATATGGGAAAGACATCATTTCACTGGAAGATGTTAGTAATGCACTAAAATCTAAAGAGTTGAAAAAGAGCTTTCCGGACAATATAATTGAGGGCGAGGGTCTTGTGATTAGAGGAGGAGCACAACCAAAAGAACTTTAATAGGAAAAAGTCAACCGGCAGATCAAAGTCTAGAGCAAGGAAGCAACATTATTATGAGTGCGGGGAGCAAGGTTACTACAAGAGAGATTGTTCTAAGCTGAAGGAGAAAAGAGGGAAGCAGAAAATAGATAATTCGGCGAATATTATTGACACTGGCAATAATTCTGATGATAGTGACTATGTAGGGGAAGTCTGTGCTGTGAGTTCTTGTCATGGGCAGATTCTTGGGTTCTTGATTCTGGTGCTACTTTCCACATGTGTCCATACAAGAATTGATTCGCAACTTACAAGCAAATGAGTGGGCCTGTCTACATGGGAGATAATAATCCATTACCAGTAGAGGGGGTTGATAACATCCAATTGAGAATGTTCGATGGAAATATCAGAAACATTGAGTGTTGGCATGTTCCTCGGATAAAGAGAAATTTGATTTCTCTTTCGACTTTGAATGACCAAGGGTATAAATTTCACTCCGAGAATGGAATACTTAAAGTGTGTAAAGGCTCCATGGTACTCATGAAGGGTAAACTGCATTCTAAATTGTATCATCTTCAGGCCAGTATAGTTGAAGGGGAAGCTGCTGTAGATTCTGGGAAAAGTGATCTGAATCAGTCTCAGTTGTGGCACTTGCGACTTGGCCATATGAGTGAAAATGGATCGTCTTTGTTGAGTAAGCAGAATTTGCTGAATGGGTACAAAAATCAAGTTTTGAATTTTTGTGGTCATTGTGTGTTTGGTAAACAGACAAGGGTAAAGTTCAGCAAGAAGGCCGAGCACAAGACCAGAAACAAGTTAGATTATATACACTCAGACTTGTGGGGTCCAAACAGAGTTCCCTCCAAGAGTGGTACAGGTATTTTGTGACTTTGATTGATGATTACTCAAGGATGGTGTGAGTGTATTTTGTAAAAATAAAAGATGAGGCATTTTCGACATTTGTTAAATGGAAAACGATGGTTGAGAGGCAGACGAAAAGAAAAATTAAGCGTATTCGAACTGACAATGAGTTGAAATTTTGCAGTTCTGAGTATAATAATTTCTGCAACAGAGAGGGCATAGTGAGACACCACACTTGTGTCGGAAC